GTCTTTGTGTTTTCTATTCTTTCATGTCTGTTTTGGTGCCAATACTATGCTGTTTTTCTTACTTTGGATCCATAGTATAATTGAATATGTGGTATTGTGATGCTTCCTGCTTTACTTTTCTTGCTAAGGATTGCTTTGGCTATTCTGGGCCTCTTGTTTTTCCAAATGAATTTTACGACTGTATTTTCTATTTCTATGAAGAACATCATTGGAATTTTAATAGGAATTGCATTAAATCAGCATAGTGCTTTTGGTAGTAGGGCCATTTGACAATATGAATTGTGCCTATCCATGAATGTGGGAGATCTCTTTATCTTCTAAGGTCTTTTTCAATTTCTTTCTTTAGTGTTCTGTAGTTTTCATTGTAGAGGTATTTTACCTCTTTTATTAGATTTATTCCCAAGAATTTTATGATTTTTTTTGAGGCTAATGTGAATGGAATAGTTTTTCTAATTTCTCTTTCAGCTGATTCATTGCTGATGCATAGGAACACAATTGACTTATAGGTATTTTATATCCTACTACTTAGCTGAATTCATTTATGAGTTCTGAAAGTTTTCTGGTGGAATTTTTTGGTCTGCTAAATATAGAATCATGTCATTGGCAAATAGGGGTAGTTTGAACTCTTCTTTTCCTATTTGTACCCCTTTAATTTCTTTCTTTTGCCTACTTGCTCTGGCTAGGGTTTCAAGGACTGTGTTGAGCAGATGCTTTAAATTTTTCTCCATTTCGAATGATGTTGGCCTTGGGTTTAATGTATATAGTTTTTAGAATGTTGACGTATCTTCATATTACTCACTAGTTTTTTTACTGTTTTGAACATAAATGGATTCTGTATTTTGTCAGGTGCCTTTTCTGCATATATTGAGAAAAATCATGTGATTCTTGTCTTTAAGTGTATTAATGTGATGAATTATGTTTATTGATTTCCATATATTGAACCAACCTTGCATCCCTGGGATGAACCTCACTTCATCATGATGCACTGTCTTTTTTAATGTTTTGTATGAGATTTGCCAGCATTTTATTAACAATTTTTGCATCTGTATTCATCAGGGATATTGTTCTGAAGTTTTCTATCCTTGATGTATTTTGTCTGGTTTTGGTATCAGGATGATGCTTTGGAAGGGTTCCCTCCTTTTCTATTTTATGAAATAATTGGAGGAGGATTGGTGTTAGTTTTTCTTGGAAGGTCTAGTCCTGGGCTTTTCTTATTGGTATGCTTTTGATGGTATTTTCAGTTTCATTGCTTGAAATTTACCTATTTAAATTTTGTATGCCCTCCTAATTGAATTTGGGTGGGTCATATTTTTGTGGAAACTTATTGACGTCTTCAAGATTTTCTATTTGAGTGGAGTATAAATTTTCAAAATAGTTCTGATTATTGTCTGTATTTCAGTAGTATCTGCGGTAATGTTTCCTTTTTGTCACTTTTTAAAAATGTATTAATTTGAGTTTTATTCTTTTTCTCTTTGTTAGCTTGGCTAAAGGTTTATGAATTTTATTTATTTTTTCAAAGAACCAACATTTTGTTGATTTTTTTTTAAATTTGTTTCAGTTTCATTGATTTTGGCTGTGATTTTAATTATTTCCTCTCTTCTACTGCTTTTGGTGTTGATTTATTCCCTTTCTAGAGATGTCATTTACTTGGTGACTTTCTATTCTTTTAATGAATGACTGTAATGCAAACTTTCCTCTTAAAACCACCTTCATAATGTCCCAAAGATTTTGAAATGTTGTGTTGCTTTTCTCATTTATCTCTAAGTATTTTTTTATATCAGCCCTGATTTCTTCAGCTGTCTATTGGTCACTTAATAGCATATTATTTAGTCTCCAGGTATTAGAGTAGCTTCTATTTTTTATTTTATCATTGATTTCTAATTTTGTTCCATTATGATAGAATGCAAGGTTTCTCCCTCCCTCCCCTCCTCCCCTCTCTCTCCTGTATTTGCTGAAAATTGCTTTGTGGCCCAAGATATGGTTTATTTTAGAGAAGGATCCATGTGCTGCTGAGAAGAAAGTGTATTCAGTCATTGATAGATGAAATATTCTATATGTATCTAATAAGTCTAAATTATTGATTGTATTTTTTAGTTCTATAGCTTTTTAAATTTGTTTTTATTTGGTGGATCTATCCAGTAGTGAGAGAGTTGTGTTAAAGTCACTCTGTGTTACTGTGTTGTCTATTTGATTCCAAAATTGAGCAGGGTTTGTTTAATGTATGTAGGTAGATGGTCTTTGGTTTGGGGCATAAATATTTACGATTGTTATATCTTGTTGATGTGTAATTCCCTTACACATATGAAATGCCCTTATTTGTCTCTTTGGATTAACTTTGGCTTGAAGTTCACTGTATCTGATATGAAGATAGAAACCTCTGCTTGTTAATGAGATTCATGTAAATAATATATTTTTTCCTATCCTTTTATCTTCAATCTATGGATATATCTTTGCTTATGAGGTGAGTCTCTTGGAGACAGCATATTGTTGGATCTTGTTCTTTTATACAATCTGCCAGCCTGTTTCTTTTGATTGATGAGTTTAAGCCATTTACATTCAATGTTTGACTTCAAGTTTGAAGGAAATGAGTTTCAATTGGTGTAAAATGACATTCTGAACTGATAGAATTCTATTGGCAAGGGAACATAGTCATAATAGTACGTGATATTTTGAGATATGTAGAATAAACTTTTTCTTGGTGTGTTCATGGAGAGATGAAACTTAAAACACAAAATGTTTCTAACATTCTAAATCATTTGGGTTGCAGTTGATTAAATCAAGTTTTCCAGGCTCTTAAAGTTCCAGGAAATAATTCCGTCAGACAAAGTGCATATGGAAGTTTCTCTTAAATAAGAATATAACTGCCTTAGTTAAATAATTATTGAAATATAGCCATTTATTGAAAATTATTAGTTTGTAAATGTAAGTTTTGAAATCTATCATAGGATCACTGAGACCTGGAAATGATCCTGAAATCTTATTGGGTCAAGGGCCCCCACAGCATCCTCCACAGCAGCATAGAGTACTTCAACAACTACAACAGGGAGATTGGAGATTACAGCAACTTCACTTACAGCACCATCACCCTCACCAGCAGCAACAGCAACATCAGCTACTTCAGGATGCTTATATGCAGCAGGTAGTTCTTTTACTACTTTAGATCTGGAAGTAGAATTGTGAAATCATGTAGCAGTTGAAAAATCATTGAATTGCTTTTTCGTATTATGGGCATCTTGAACTAGATTCAAGTAAACGTGTTCTTTAATTTCCTGATGATTAAAGAATATGTAGTTAATTTGCATTTGATGAGCTACTTAAGGATACCTTATTAAAAAGGTTGCATCATGGCCTAATGAAGCAGAGAATGTTCAGTTGGTATTCAGGAATAAGCATTGTGATTGGTGATGAATATTATCTGAGGTCTTGTTTTGAGTTCACAGACTATTGTAGACAATGTGTTATTGTTCTTTCCAAAAGTACCATTGTATTAGATTTTTATTTTTATTTTTTTATTTTTTCTAAAATATTTATTTTTCAGTTCTCGGCGGACACAACATCTTTGTTTGTATGTGGTGCTGAGGATCGAACCTGGGTTGCACGCATGCCAGGCGAGCACGATACTGCTTGAGCCACAACCCCAGCCCCATATTAGATTTTTAAATTCTTTTTTGTTTTTGTTTTTTTTTTCCTTTTCTTTCTTCCTTTTTTTTTTTTTTGACGAGGTTGATATAGGGGAAAGAGGAAGCATTTAGAACTGAAAAGGATGTAAGGAAAAAAATGTCCTTCATCTCATCAGAACCAATAGATTTCTAGTTTCATTAAACTTTTAAATTGAACTACTATTACCATCATCACTTTGATTTCCTAAACTATATTTTGATCCAATTACATTCATGACATTTTTCATGGGTGTCACTTTTCTCTAATTATGATTGAGATAGCCAGAGTGGAGGGTAGTAAGTAAATGGTGTTATGGGATGGCCGAAGACACTACTGAAGAGGAGGTGGAGAAGAGTGGGGATTTTCTGTAATGGGTCCTGGTCACAAGTCACTTCAGGGGAATTTGTCAACTGGGAAAAGATGATAAAAATGTTTAGCATTATCATTCTTGCAGGCATCCTAAAATTATGCTGCATATGGTTTTAGTTGAATCTCTGTTGTATTGACAATTTTAAAACCAATTCTAATAAGCATATGTAAATTATAGTCACTCTACAGCTATTTTGTACTGGAGTTTAGACTACTGATATGGTAAAATGAATATTTAAGTAAAGGACTCTGGCATAAAAAATGCATGGATAATATTGATTATTTATTTATTTTTATCTTATAGTATCAGCACGCAATGCATCAACAACATTTACTCCAGCAACAATTTTTAATGCATTCAGTGTATCAGCCTCAACCTCCTGCATCACAGTATCCTACAATGGTAAAGTGTTACATAATTTCTAGAGATTTCTTTCTGGATATGCATTATAATGTTGGAATTCACAGTGTGAATGGGGTTACTCAGAATTTAATAATTCAGAATCAATTCAAGTTATTGAAACAGGTGTATGTTCTCAAGTAGTCATAAACTATTTTGAACTGTGGCTCCCAAGTGTATGGCATATTGTAATTGACAGACAACATACTTCTCTTATAGTTTAAGAGAAATGATCTTTTATGTGATCTTTGCCACGTGTCTCTTTCATTCTGTGTCAGTTGAATAAAAATGAAATTCAAAGGGAAAGAACATTTGATTCAGAGAATAGTTTGACTTTTTACAGCACCAGCATTCTACTGACTAAGACACTCTCTTGTCTTTTTCTTAAAATATTTAAGGGAGAATTTTTGAATCTGGCCAAGTGAGCTTAGATTCACAAATTCTGAAATAGATAAAATTCCTCCTGCAGTAGTTTTCTAGTAAGAGAGCTGTTCCTTCAAATAAAATTTATTATTTTCTAGGTTTCTGGTTTTGTCGCCAAAGTAAAAAGAAAGAAGGATAGTAAACAAAATCAATGCTGATAGTACTTTATTGACTTGAGCATTGATTTATGTAATATCATTCTTGTTTCAGATGCAGCAGTATCAGCAGACTTTCTTGCAGCAGCAGATGCTAGCTCAACATCAGCAATCCCAACAGCAGGCATCACCTGAATATCTTACCTCCCCTCAAGAGTTTTCACCAGCCTTAGTTTCCTACACTTCATCACTTCCAGCTCAGGTTGGAACCATAATGGATTCATCTTATAATGCTAGGCAAGTATTTTTCTAGTGAATGCAGGATTTAAAACATTGGCTGGGAAAAGGTCTCCACAAGCATCAACTGGGAATTGGGCATGAGAAGCAGTAACATTGGTAGCATAATTGTACTGTGTGTATCTCAAAAGAGTGTGAAAGTACACAGTTTGCTATAGAACAACTCCCAACTTCTGTGTGTGTATGAGATAAGAGAGAGAGAGAAAGAAAAAGCAATAGTGATAAATTATTGATTAGGGGGAAATAGAGAAGGAAAGGGGAAAAATGAATTTAATGAAGTGCTTTCCTAAAACAAAACTGGAGTATATGAAATAGGACAGATTTGTCTTAAGTCGAGAGCAGAGCTTAAATGTACAAATCATTATTTGTCATTAGCATACTCTAGTTATAGGTTTTTCTTTCTCACAAAGCATTTTTTTCTTGAATAAATTAATTGCATTGTAAATAGTAAAATTAAAGCATATGCTATGATATTCTAAACTAATTAGAATCAATAAAATATAAACTATGAAATACAAGTAGTAATCTAATAAATTTGCATAATTAGTCCCCCCATAGTGATGATAAGAATGGAATACTTTTCCATATTAAAAATAGGATATTCTGCTTGATATTGTATAGTTTAAGATACTGACGAAGGTATTGTATTAATTAGAATCATTGTGGCAGGGGACTGAGGCCTCCTGTACAAAGTCAGATTAGTGAGCCATCCTGTAAACAGATCATTCAACACCAGCCAATGCAGACTCAGACATAACAGCCTTTCAGCTAAATCACTGCTACATTTCTCACTGGAAGAAAGGGTATAAGATAATAAATGTTTGTTGTTGTTTTAAACTATTAAGTTTTGTGTAATTTACCATGTAGAGACAGATAACTAATATAATAGGGCAATTATATTAGTTAATATGATAGTTAATATAATAGGGCAATTATAAAATGTAAGATAATATATATGTAGAGGATGTTTATTTTAACTTATTGAAATATTATTTGATATTCATACCAAAGATAAATTAACATAGTAGAAGAGGAGGAATTTTAGATTTGGGGAAAAGGGGAAAATCATTCTAAGATAATATTTAGAGACAAACAGTTGTTGCCTTCCACTGATAAGCAGGAACATCTGCTTACAGAGCTCTTTTAAAATTGCTAGAGAAGATGTTATACTCAAAATTAACCTGATATCAAGTAGTATAATAATATCGATGAAGGAACACTGAGGCACCAAACAAATGTAGCTACCTATAGGAAGTTCTGTATTCCTAAGCTCTAGTGGCTATAGTATATAATTGTTTCTACCTATTAAATAATCAGCCCTTTCCTGCTCCATGTTCCCATCCAGTAGTACACAGCTCCATTGGAGAGAGAATAAAATAAGTCCTATATGCATTTGAAGATACTGAATCCAATGTTTCCCAACCTTGGGTATGCAAGATGATTTTGGTGATAAACCAAGTTTTAAAAATTTTAGTAATTAAACAAAAATTAGGGAAAAATATGTATTATAACTATGATTCCATGAGCAGTATTACTAAAAGATAAGATTAAAGTAGGGAATACTGTAGTAATTCAGCTTAATATCTTTTGTACTTTCCAATTAATTTCACTAGACTAATTAATATTTTGATGCTAGTTAACACCAAAAGTTAAAAAAAAACAGTCATGTAATTGATACATTTCTTTCATCAGTATCTTAAGGAATATAGAGCACAATATCCATTTATTTATTTATTGGTACTGGAGATTGAACCAAGGGCCTCAGGCATACTATAGTCCATTAATTCCTATCTTATTTTTAATAAGAAAAATTATTTCATTCTTATTACTGGGGACTTATTTCCAGGTATATCATTTTTGGAAATTTATTAAATTATTACTTGCATTTCATAATTTACATTTTAGTACTTCTACTTAGTGTTACATGATTTTATTATTTATAATATTAATAAAGAAAAGTGCTATTTGGAAAAGTAGAAATTGTAATTAGACTAGGAAAAAAACAAAGAGCAGAATTAGATTTTATTCTTGTAGGGAGGAATATCAGAGAACATGTGTGTGTTTGTGTGTTTGTGTTTATTTTTATTTTTTCTTGGGGACTGAATCCAGGACCTTGGGCATTCTAGACTCTACCAATAATCTATATTCCCAGTGCTGGTAGACATAGTTTAATGTGTCTTTGAACTGTAGGTAAGCTGTAGGTTAAGGTAACATACCCTATTGAGTTCAGTCTGCCAGGATTCATCATAGGAATTGGAGGAGTGATTCAAATAGGAAATCAAAAGCTCTGAAAGAAATTTATAGGAGGGAAAATGTTGTTCTTTGAATTTCCCTTTCTCTGACCTATGTTAAGGACTCTGAAAGTCCTTGGAAACAATTTTGGAATAAAGATGGAATTTTGTCACATGGAGGCAGATTTTTAGCCCTTGGCAATATCTAGGTTCTGTTTACTAAGCAAGTGTACTTATAGTTTTTTTTCTTTTCTTATCTTCTAGCCTTCAATAATTGTTTAAATATTCTATTCTTGGCACAAATATTCTGAGGGGGCTTGGACTAAGGGATTAAGTGGATGTCTTTTGCTGACTTTTACCTTCTAGGACCTGTGTGGTGGCAAGGACATTGAGCTGCCAAAGGGAAAGTAAACTCAAAGGGATGAGTCAAGGCTTGCAAAATGGAGATACTTGTTTAAACATAGAGACTTTCTCTCCATTGTTAATATTAAAGGGTTTGGATCTGAATTATGTAAGGAATTTGATAGCTTTGTTAAATTGCCTCATTCCTGTGCTGTATTTCCAGGCTGATTGAGGGAGAGGTACCCAGGGATTCTTAAGAAGTCTTTAGACTTACATTTTCCCTTAAAAACCAAGAGGCCTATCTGGCAAATTGCATAGAATCAGTGGTTTTAGGCTCCTGACTCGATAGTTTTGTATTAATGATTGTTTGACTGATATTTGCAATCTAAGTATTGAACTCAGGGCCTTGTATATGCTAAGCAAGCTACCAAAAAGCCATATCCCCAGCCCCAGACTTTAGGTACCTTAAACATCATGAATAATTACATATTTACAGAATAACTGTCTTTCAACTTTAGCTAATTTATTAGTAAGGCAATCCTAAAATTCATCTTTTGTTTGTAGTGAAATTATTGTGGTGTTTCCACATAACCAGGACATGATCGCTATACAGTTATTCTGAAGTAATTTTGGAGTGATACTGCTTGGTATGGTAACAGATTGTCACTTTCCAATCTGTTCACTGTAAGAATAATAACTCATTTATTGACTGCTTGGTTTTCTTTACCAGACCCTGTTCTCTTTATATGTGTATTAAATCATTTAATTTCTTCAGAAATGCTTTGAAGTAGATACTGTCACTCCTTTCCAATAGATGAGGAAGCTGAAGCATAGAGGGGTTAAAGAATACTTTATGTACCTTTTGTAGGTGATTATAGAGCTAGTATGCCTTATGGATTATGGAACTAGTCCGCCTTATAGAGGTGTTTTAGATCCCATACCCTTAACCTGCCATCTCAACTGCAATAAAATTGTATGGTTTTCTAAGCATTTATAAAATACAAACTGGGGCAATGTGAAATTTTTTAAATTCTCATTTTCTTTCTTTTCCCCTCTCAATTATTATAATAGGCCAGTTGCTGAGAAAGAGGCAGTTGCAAATTTTACAAATCAGAAGAACATCAGTAACCCACCTGATATGTCAGGGTGGAATCCTTTTGGAGAGGATAATTTCTCCAAGTTAACAGAAGAGGAACTGTTGGACAGAGAATTTGACCTTCTAAGATCAAGTAAGGGACACTTGAAGGCTTATTTTGCTTCACAGTAAAATAACAGCTCCATAATTTTTCAGCAAGGCCAAAGACTGTTTTGAGGTGGTGTACATTAAATTCTTTTTGTGCATTTGAGGGCAAAATTCAGGCCATCTTCTTTCATATACACTATCAAACTATGTTATGCATATTAGGGATTTATTGCTTTATAGTAGCTATTCAAAACCCAAGATTGCTGAAAGTATGCTGATATTAACACTTTAAAAAACTGCATAACTGTGAATGTTAAATTGAGAACAACTCTAAAAGATGGAAATTTAATGTTGAAATAAAAAGGGAGACATTAGTATCTTACCTTACTAATCATTTTGGAGCTCTGTTTTTTTGCACACTTAATAGAAAATATTGTGGTCTCAGATGCCCTTTGAAAATGCCTGAAAGAAAACATGGGCTAGTTACTACATTATGTTAATGTTTTGTAATGCCCTTTTAATGAGTGGTGACATAAAAGGGCTGCTTTGTTGTCCTGATATGGCAAAAGTTAAATAAATTTTTTTCACTGTAAATCAGATATCTCAATGTTTTTACTTGAAATCATTGCCTTTTCTTAAACTACCTAATATATATGTGAAGCTTCACCATACACACACACACACACACACACACACACACATACTTTTTTTTTTGGCGGGGAAGAAAGTTGTAGGATGTTTTCAGGTTTGCAAAACAGGAACAAAAAACTCACTTCTGGAGGATGTAGATAATTTTCAGATTTCTGAGACTTATACGTTATGTGTGTGCACTGCACACACACAAGTGTGTTTTCCTTTTTGTATGTGAAAAGGTTGAATTGTTCCCAGTTCCTAGTTTCTATATTATTTAGGTAACCGGTGTTATGAATAAATTTAATAGATTAAAATGCTTTGTTCCAAATTAGAATATATTTTATGTACACTTTATAAATGCCTTGCATTCATGTAATAATAGTTGTTTGGGATTTAAATTTGTATTTTACATATTGGTAATATATAATGGAAATTTAATTGATGATTAAATGTAGATATATAAGTGAGTTCTGAGGCCTTATCAAAGGTTTGTTAACTTGGGTAGAACCAATCTTACGTCATTAAAAAAAAAATCTTTTTAAACCACAACTTTTTGTTTGGTATTTTTCCTAGAATTTGTGTTGAGTGACCCCCCCAAACAAGGTTTTAAAAAAGGAAATAAAGTATCTCTTTTGGAGAGATGATAGAGAGTAGCCCAATTATTATAGTGTATAGGATTTTTTTAGAAACAAGGTTTTAATTTTGATGTGTTCTAATAAGGTCTTGCTAAATCAGTATTTGCTACTCCTTGGGTGAATAAACCCTCTTTTAAAATAACAGAATAGGAAAAAATTCTCATTTTTTATCTTACAGAGTATGCTGTTCTATGCTCCTGAGAATTTGTAATGACACCTAACTTTTGTTTGGCATAGGCAGGAATGGTATCTGAATATACCTATATGTGTTCTTTCATAAAAAATTGGGTTTAACTTTAAATTTTTGAACTAGTTATTTATTTTTAAATTTGAAGATCAGGTAATATGTGTGTGTGCTTGTGCACATATGTATACCATTTTTATTGCAGTATTAACTGTAGAAAGATATTAGGTTCCAATTGAAAGTTCAGGAGGAACTTTTTTTGCAGGTCAGACTTGGAATAACCTCTGCCATTTGGAAAAATATCTCAGTGGTACCTAAACTACAGAAATCATGCTACAGGCCTTTGTACTTATTTAATTCAGCACATTTATACCAGAAAATACAAATTCTAATACCTGACAATGTATTTACTAGTAGGAAACTCAGTAAAATCACATAGCCAGGTATCAGTTTCACTTAATGGTACTTCCCTCAGGGTTGTCAGAAGAATTAAATGAAATAATGTCTTAAAAAGAGTCTGGGCACCCGGTTGATAAATGCCACTTTCCCTTTCCTTGCCTTCTGTATATTTCTTTAGGCTCTGACTTACAGGTTTTTTGACTTTCAACTGGTGTTTAAAAATTATATCTAAATTATTAAGTTTCTTAGTTGGTCACTTAAAAATCAAAGTAGAAAAGGGATTTGTGGACAGACATGTCAACAACAAAAGGGACAGTGACAGCAAGAAACAGATAGAAAAAAAATCTACTTTTCTCTTTGGGGGTCCAAAGAAGGAGAAACATCTTTTATAAAATTTATTAAGAAATCAGTAATGTATAGGATATAGTATTGAAACATTTCCGCTTATGATTTTAATATTCAGTCATAGTCATTTTAAGTATCTCTTTAAATAGAAGCTGTTATGTGTCTAATATTTCATCTTTTTGATAGGGCTTAAATTATACTGATAGGCAAATGGCCTCTTCTAGAACCTTAAGAATTTCAGTGCAAGGGTAACTGCAGTGAAACTTGGTGTTTGTCATTATTGGTTGGTTTCTTCTGTCCCTAACAACCTTTTCAAAAATGAATAAATACATTATTGATGTATTTGAAATGCCAAATAGGATGTTTGTACCTTTTTTCCTTGGTATAAATATTAATTTGTTAATGATTTTCCAATATTATTCTAAATTAGTTTATTTTTTGTTTTTGAAATGCTTTGAATTGAGAGGCTGGAAATCTTTATATGGTCCTTAAAGTACAGGCATTGCCCATGTAATGATGTAATGGTTGCAAAGCAACCAGTCAGAATAATACTTTCACATTTGGGGTTATTTCCTTAATGAAAGACAAAGGACATGCTGTCTAGGAAGTATTTTATTGAGGTATTATCAAGAAGGTAATTTTAAGAACATATTAATATTTTGAAAATTCTAAACTATTAGCAATTGGTAAAAATTCTTTTTAGTGATTTTCAGAAAAACAGTTGATTCTGTATAGGAGGCAAAGGGATTTAACATGAAAGAAACTAGTCTTTTACTTTCAGTGTAAATGAATGTTATTTATGGTTCAGAAGCTTTACTGGTTCTTAAGAGCAATACATTAAATCAAGATTAAGCTTTAGTAATAAAGCTTGTCTCAATATTTATTAAAAATTTAAGCTGGGTGCTGTGGCACATGCCTGTAATCCCTATGGCTTGAGAGGCTGAGGTAGGAGGATCACAAGTTCAAAGCCATCCTCAGCAATTTAGTGAGGCCCTAAGCAACTTAATGACACCCTTTCCCAAATAAAATATATACAAAAAAGGGCTGGGGATGTGGCTCAGTGATTAAGTGCCCCTGGGTTCAATCTTTAGCGTGAAGTAAATAAACAAATAAATAATTTAAAAAAATTTAAGCTTCTATCTGTTTTTTGTACCAAAACGTCTGGATTTGGTATGCAAACTTCAGAAACCTAATTGTCATAGTATTTAACATATTAAGCAGTAATTAAACAAAATACAGGTGTTTGGGGAAATTTCAACTTGCACTTGTTCACATAGTTGTGTAGGTGTAAATGTTAAGGATAATACTTAATGAAACATTTTTTGGTTGATTTATTTGTTTTTATTTAAAATTTCATAAAAATAACTGAAAGGAAGAATAGAAGATGCTAAATACTGTGATTGCTTTTCAGTACTTCTGAATATGTTTTATCTATGAAACCACAGAATAAAATTTGTGAGTCTATAATTAGTTTCTTATAAAACATTAACTCTCACACAACTTTCCAGGTATATTAGAATATTAGTATTACATTGAGACTGCTCTTTTAAAAAATCTTATTCATTGACCTTTGGGCCCTGTAGGACATTATCCATATATGCAGCACAATTCATTTTTTAGATTATTTTAATTTCATGGTGATATTGTAGAATATATTTTGCTTTTAGGAGTTTTAAGTCCTATCTTTTTTCCATCTGTATCAATTAAAATTCTTAAAAATAAACTGTATTCACCAAAACAATTTTTTTTGGAAGGCAGAAGGAGGTAAGTTTCTTACATTGGCCAAATTGAACTCAAGCTTTGATCTATGTTAAAGAAAACTAATCATTTAAAAATGATAGTTAAATACATTTTAGGGGTGACTGTATTTGAAAAGTAGCTTTATATAACCATTTTATTTTTTATTTATAGATAATTGATTGTTAAAAATTAATATCTATATTTGTATTTTTTTGTTCTGGGTCTCAGATTGTCATGTAAATTTTAGAAACCTTAAATGATTAAAAAAATTCCATTAAAAGTGATTCTGTTTTGTGGAACACTGAGAACATTATTTATTTTATTATAAATTTATTTTGATTTCAGTTCAAAAATAATTGGATAAATGAATTTTTCATAGAACCATGTCTTCCATATTTTTTATTTGTGGTGACTTCTATATAAAAATTAGTTTATCCCTATGTGATAATGTTTGTACTCTTGTCTTAACTGCATGATACTATTTGTATATTTACCATGAACTTACCAAAGTTTGATGGAAATAATATACCAAATGCATAAATATTCAAAGAGCCTTAGTAGTTATTTTGCAGTTTTATAACCTGGAAACTATTGGTATAGTAGTGGTTTATAAATTTGGTGACTATGTTAAAATGCAGATTCCCACGTTCCTACTTATAATTTTTCTGACTCATTAGGTTGTGGGTATGGTTAGTAATTGCATTTTATGTAGCAGTCTTCAAATCATGATGTAGATGGTTTAGGGTTGAAGTCTGGTCCTAATTCAGATTTAAATAAATACTTAATACTCTTAATCTTGCTTTTTAGAGGGCTCTTGGATATTGCTATGCTATTGCTATCATTTTGAGTTAGTCTCCCCCATTTGTGTTTTCCCACTCCCTATTTCCTTTGTCCTTAGTTTTAGATACTAGAATCTGGGAGATGGAGAAGAATAGGGAGTCTAGGAGAATTCTGATACAAGGCATAATTCCCTGGTATACAGTTATTCTGTAAGTACATTCAGGGCCTAACTTAAAAAAACAAAAAACAAAAAACATGGGTATCCATAGGTAATCACTGTGAATCATAGGATAGTCCTTAAAGTCTAATTGTGGCATCTCACAATAGGTGAGGAACCCTTCATTATATAAATTATTCTCCAACCTTACTTTTTCAGAAAGAGCTATGAGACTACCTTCTCTTTAATATTTGTTTTTGACAGCAAAGTCAATGGTTCAATGAACATTTGTTACTGGTTTCCTAAATTGAATATATGGTTAATATCTTTAAAATTAATGCCTAATATTTCTCTGTTATCCATTTCAGTAATGGAATTGAAGAGTAGCATTTTAGGAAGTTTTGTTTGTTCAGCAATCAATTGTCAGATGTGTTCAGCAATTCTTTATCAGTGCCTCACACCTCAACAAAACATTAGGGCTTCAACAAAATTTTAAATAAAAATTTAAATCCATAGTGCCATGTGGATGTTGCAGAGTTTGTCTTTGCTGTAAAAGCTGGCAATTGTATCCACTGTCTTAAAGGCAATT